CAGCTGGTCCATGAACAACACACTCAAAGAGAAATTTCTGGACCCGTGCTGAAATTTTGATGCTTCTTACTGCATTTTGTTGCAATATAGTTGCTTAGATGGCACCAACATACTAATGAGAACAGATTTCAGACAAAAGTTTTCTATGCGCATAAAGGTAGACAGCTTCAGCTCTCTGGCTCTCGGCTACCCTGTGGTGAAGGCCACTTACAGTAAGTATACTTTGATAGCCAGTAGAAAATAATAAATTACTGAATCTATGTGTTAAACGTGGGAGGCAAAGCCACGGAAACAACTAGAGGAAGACGGAAGAGATTAACAGTGAAAAATCACTGCAGATGTTTGGAAGATACTTCTGGGACTGTGCCCCTGGGTGGCCTGCTGGAATTACCCAGGGAGTTCTGAAACGCTGGTACTTTTTTTTTTTAATTATGTTATGTTAATCACCATACATTACATCATTAGTTTTGGATGTAGTGTTGCCTGATTCATTATTTGCGTAAAACACCCAGTGCTCTTTGCAGAACATGCCCTCTTTAATACCCATCACCAGGCTAACCCATCCCCCCACCCCCCTCTCCTGTAGAACCCTCACTATGTTTTTCAGAGTCCATCAGTCTCTCATGGTTCATCCCCCCTCCGATTTCCCCCCCTTCATTCTTCCCCTCCTTTTATTTCTTCTTTTTTAACATATAATGTATTATTTGTGAAACGCTGGTACTTTTAAAAGCTCCCTGGGAGATCCTAAATGTGCAGCCAAAGGAGAGAACCTACTGTTAAGAAAAAAATTTCATCCCTCATGCTCACTTTTACCTTTCTCTGCATTCCTTTCCTGGTTTCCCTACTTCCTCTATCAGGTTCTTTTGCTAATAAAATAAAGATAGGAAGAAAGTCACTGAATTATGGGAGGGCCACATTAAAATTTCAATGACTTTAGTAGACACAAGGTGGCCTCAAAAATGCAAACACCAAACTTTATCAAAGAAAATGGGTTGCTTTTAAATTTTTTTAGACGGTGAATTCTATTTGTGTTTCCAGAATGTCTAAATTAGCAAATGAAATGGTTTCTTCACCAGTCATTACTGAAAGTATTCCGCTAAGACATTTTATTAAGTCAGCAAGAATGAGAAGATTCAATTTTCTTTTGGGGGGGGAAATGTCACTTATTTGGCCATTATCCACATTTGCCACAGGCCAAGGATTATAAAATGTTTCCTCCCAATCCTGCCTTGTAAACACAAGCATGAAATCCCAAATGTTTCAAGAAAAGCAAACAACTTCTGACCTTGTAAATCAAGTAGGCTTCTGGGAAATTCCATAGTGCACTTTATTGCAGAGAGTACTGAATTAGCTTCAGCTGCACTCAAAGGTAATCTCTTGATGGGCAGCCGAGCTCCAAGCAGCCCTATTCAGTACCAGTTGGCCTAAATTTGCCTCCATGGCAATTTGGGACGCTCTCATTCAAATGCGTCATCACCTCCCCATCCTAATTCCCAATACCTGTTCTCAATGCAACCAGTATAGCCCCCCTCCTTGCCCAGTTTCTGGTCAATACCTGCCAAAGCGGTTGACAAAGAGTCCAACGGAGAAGGAGCCAATCATACCACCAACGGAGAAGATGGCCACAGACAAGGACCAGAGGGAAGTGAGTAACACCTCAGTGGGACGGTCGTTCAACGTCTCCTCCAGGGTGTAATTGAGAAAGTCCTTTATGATCTGCCAATTAAAATGATTGGTGGGCAGATTGTTACAGCTGAATGAGAAGGGGCAAATATCGGGGATCTTCCCCTCCCTAAGAAAACACCATTACAATGACTGGTAGAGGATCAAGTAAATGAATGGGTGGGGATGGAAGAGATAGAGAACCTTTGGAGGTTCATGGTAGCTCTGAAAAGAACAATTTTGATTTGTCCTGAAAATCCCAGTAGGTTGTTAGCACTGATGTTCAGTGACTACCCCAGTCCTCCCCTAAGACCCTCCCACCCTCCTTGTAACTAACCCCTGAGGGATAATAAAGGAAGTGTATCACGATAGCGTGAGGGGAAGCACGGATACAGTCCAGTCAAGGGTATGGGGAGCAACTGAGCTTTTTGCTTTAATGATTCAGTTAGACTTCCCCACCAATGTTATTCTGCCTCTTCAGCCTTCACCAAGCTAGATACCAAGTTTGTCTGAAATTCTTCGTTCTTGAAACCCTACTTAAAAGAATAATTTACCTATTCCAAATTCTAACTCTGGTCACCTGGCACTCACCATCTCAGGAGCATTGATGACTCCGGTGTTGTAGCCAAACTGGAAAGAGCCTATCGTAGCAATGGAGATGGCAAAGATCAGAGGCGCTGTGACCTGGGGTGGAGGGGGGGGGAAGGGAAGAAACAGTCCTTAAAGCTCTCGGCTGATGATTGTCTCTTATTAATTAAGGAGAGATATTAGGAGCACTCGGCCTGTGAGTGGTATGAAAAGAACAAAAACTTAACGAAATTTAGGTAACGAATGGGGGAACACAAAAGAACAGGTTATACTGAAGAACTTCTCCGGAGATATACAGACAACCACGTAAACGGGAAAAGCGGCAAGAAAATTTGGGAAGAAAGTTAAGAGGAACTGGGTTAACTCGTTTCAAACTATTAAAAAAAAGTTGCCCCATGTAAAAGCAAGCTTACAACTACAGGGAAAGAGAGCCTTGGGATTCCTAAAAATGGATTCTTTTGGAAACAGCTAGATCCAGGGCTGTCTCCTCCTGTACCCCAGATCCCACTGAAGCCCAGAGTGGTGGTGGTGGTATTTTCACCACTGGGCTGTTCGTAGCGCTCTGGATAATGTAATCTACAAAATCTACCCAGGGTAACCTGGTCCCATTTGAAATTCTTCCTGTTTACTTCGTTTTGTACCACTACGCCCACCCAGCGGGGCAGAGCACAAGCTCACTCCCAACCTAACAGACCAGAGATGTGGTGGGGAGAAGGGAGTCATCTCACCTTGCTGGGAGTAATTCAAGTGTGTGTTTATTTTAGATTTCCAGCTCAAGGTAAGCTCAAATTTTACGGCTGAGGACATCCTTCCTTACCTTAAACTCCCTCCCCCTTTTAGGTTAGACGGACTGGCCAGCCAGAAGTTTCAGTTCTCCAAGTTGACCTCCCACCCCAGACAACCTGGCGTTAAGTACCCGAGTGGCCCCGCCTGCACACAGCTCTTTCTGTTTAATCCATTTCTCATCCGTAATGACCTCTTCCTTCTGCCTCGCCTCATCCTTTACTATTCTTGAGGGCCTTTTTCTCCTCCCTGTTTTTTTCATCCCTTCTCTTACCTTCCTTTTCAAGTAAGTTGACCTTGGTGACAATGACTTTCTCCCAGCAAATATACTGCATACGTAACACACAGTAACACATTAATGTATCGTGCACTCACAATCACAACTACAATTGGTACAACTGGGATTCTCTCTTAGGCTCCACAGACCTGTATACGTTATAGAATAGATGGCTGGACACTGGCCCATTCCCTCAAACAAATCCCAGGTCCTTTCAAGCTTTAATGCTTCCAGAGGAATCTTCCTGCTGGCTCACGAGACCCACACTTGTAATCAACACAGCCAAGCAGCCTGGAACACTCAACCATCTCACCCCCAGATCCTCAGTAGCATGTGATTATGCTAAAAAACAAAATAAAACCACCAACAACCCTGAGAAACACACAAAACTTCTCCAGGTGACTCTCCCTGTGACAGGAAGGTGAGTGGGACTGGGAGAAATCCTGTATAGACTGTGACATCCAAAGAAAAGTGGAGGAACCATGGCATCACAGGCTGGAGAAGAAATGAGAAGGCCTGAAGGTGGCTAGATGACTTAGAATAAAACAGAGCGCAGCAATCTCCATTAAGGTCGGCCTTTCTGAGTGTACCCCAAACAAGCAAAAATAACTGGAATTGTATCAGTCTTGCGTTCTGTGTCCCCATGGCCCTGACTCAAATCTTTTCATCTTCAACAAAGATCTAGGAGTGGGAATCCCAGAGACACCTCTTCCAGTCAACAACGCCCCCAAAATATCCTTCTCAGCAGCAAGTTTTATTCCCAGGGCCCAGCACGTATGCACATCTCACCCTCAGTCACCTTTAGTGCGCTCCAGCCAAGCATTTATAATCTCTGTAAAGGGTGGAGCCTGCAGGGGAGACAAGCCCCGCCCCCCAGCCACCGGCTCGAAGGATCCCTTGA